GTTAAAAGAGCAGCTCGTGGCTCCTTACGCGTTAACTAAATAGATATTACAAAATTTGGGAGGAATAGTGGATCCCCATCTAAACGCAAAAAAATACAATATAGCCCTAGGGGTTCCAGTCTCTGCATTACAACGCACCTCAAAAGCAATAACAAACCTTAAGAAAAAAGCTATCTAAAAAATACATGTAATCGTACAAAATGTATACCACAGAAATAGTATACCCAAAAAAACTACATGTACACGAAATCCCAATCCAACAGTACTTTGTAAAAGCAGCACCAACATGAAGGCTTTTAAATTCTGGTGAGAGGACAAAAACCAAAACCTGAGGAAAGGACCGCATTGAGCAGAAATTGTAGTGAAGGATCCCTAGCAATCCCGGTGTATGATAGCAATCCCATAAAGCCAACTTCCATCATCAAGTTCCTGCATAAATATACATCTAAACCTGCACCAAAAATAAGAACCAAGTGTCTGGAATGTAAGAGGGAGGAGAAGAAAATTGCCACTCCAAACCCATTACATTCCTGTATCGAGAAATGAAATCCAGCAAATAGTACCGAGCCAATTGAAGCATCTGTGTGGAGCAGGTGGAGACCAAACCATAAGCAAAAAATTACACCAAACCAATCAACTATTAGCATTCCTAATATAAGTTTCAGCCATTAAATCCCCATGAAGTAAAACCTGTAAAGGAGAGGGAGGCACCGTATCGACTAAGATCATGGAGGTGGAGGCACCGCGTTTTGCCACCCAATTAGCTGACCTATTACCTTCGCGATGAATAAATCTCCAAAGCACCTAAACAGTAGATGATAAACGAATAATACAGTTAATGTGGTAAGAAACATCCCAAGTGACAAGTCTCCCATGATTTAACATCTCAAAAAGAATCTTAGAATCGGTCTCGATCAAAATATTAGACCAATTCAAAGTAACCGCAATAGTGACTGCCATTAAAATTGCATGAGCTTCAGACTCCACCGCAGAGTCTGCAATACATGGAGATGAAAAAAATAGCAGGCAGCGACCACAGTTGTTACGCATGACTCCCCCAATACCGACACCTCTTTGATTCCAACTACCATCCGTATTAATTTTCACCCACCCCATCGAGGGCGGTTGCCACTTTACCAAGGTTGGTTTGGAAATCGACCTACTCTATAGAGGGTGAGGGAGAGATTCGAAATAAATAATACCCGAGAAGAAATTATCCTTCTTACAACTGAACTTATAAATCTTAAGAGCATAAGAAAGAATATTGGAGATGACATTGGAGCATCAAGGTCTACTATTCTCATGTTTAATATCGTTTTGGGTCATCCAAATGAACCAACATATAATATAAGGATAAATGTGTAAAAAGTTGTTACCCCTTTGATCCAGGTTACACAAAAGAGTAGTGAAGATCAAATCTGTGGTCGGATACAGAGAAGTGCTAAACCAAAGACCCCCCAATATCCAACTTTGAAGCGAAAATGGACAAGTGAAAAATAAATTTTCCAAAGTTTCCTCATCTTCATTACATAGAGAGAAGCAAGAAGCTAACCTTAATCCCTTAGCTGAAATATATATATATATGAGATATATAATCCAACAAGTACTATAAATTATAACAAATAGCTTAATGAAAAATAAATACCGGCAACATGACGATCAACTCTTTAGCCAAAAAATCTTCCATATGCCACGATTTCGTGCATCTCGAGTTTAAAAAAAAAAATCAACAGAAAAATGTCAGAAATGAAGCGAAAGTGTTCTTGCTCAGAAATCCATTTGATAGAATAACAACATAAAAAAGGAAAACAAATTTAACACAAAAGGATATCCAATACATGAAATGGGGAGAACCTAATCAAATCTTTGAAAACAAAAACCCTAACCACCAAAGCCATAGAGAGTACGACCCTGGCGCTTGAGCGCATAAATGACATCCATGGCGGTTACGGTCTTCCGGCGGGTGTGCTCCGTGTAGGTGATAGCATCGCGTATGACATTTTTTAGAAAGATCTTGAGGACTCCACGGGTTTCTTCGTAGATGAGACCACTGATACGCTTCACACCGCCACGGTGACCTAGGCGGCGCATCGCTGGCTTTGTGATTCCCTGAATATTGTCACGCAGAACCTTTCAGTGCCGCTTGGCTCCTCCCTTGCCGAGCCCCTTTCCTCCCTTTCCTCTACCCGACATCCCTCTTGCTCTCGCTTTTCTCTGTTCCTGTCTTTAGGGTACTGCAGGAATCTGTCATCTTATAGTATTTTGCCAAAGCACTTTCAACCGTTGGATGTATTAGTGATCCGCGTGTAGATAAGTCCTTATATCACGACCGTTGGATGGATAAAGCTTACGTTTTATTGGACGAAAGAGCAGGAACAAGATTTCGGTCTCATTAAAAATATGACCGGCTTAACCTTTTTTTATTAATCACCGAATCTATTTAATATAACAATGTAACGATTCTAATTTAAAATATGAATTTAATATTTTAAACACTCGAAATTTTCACTATGTTAATATAATACAAAAATTAATAAAAATATTATATTTAAAATAAATAATTAATATATTATAGTAATTATTTTGAATGTTTGGCATATAAAAATCTATTATTTAAATTGATTTAATATGATTACACATAATGATTAGGTTATTTAATTTTTATTAATTATACATTCTATATATTAATTATCCCATGAGTAGCTATTTCATATTTATTGCCACTGAAATTGCCTCTTCTCATGATAGTTTTTTTCTTAGGGCAAAAAAAAATACAACAAATAGCTCCAAGGGCTATAAGAAAAAACTAAATAAAGGAAGCATAAGGTTCCCAACAACAAAAAGAAAACCCATTATGGGAAGATGCAAGGTGCCAACAAATTAAAACAGCCACCAAATTCAAAAAGTATGACCACAAACAGTTCCTCTTCAGAATGTGTGAACTTGAGGAATACATAATTTATCTCCATGCAACAGATAAGCTAAATCTGGGGAAGGAAAATTTGCCACCATAATTTGTTAAAAACATCTACCAGTAGTGGCCAAAAGGTGAGCCGGCCCATTACCTTTCTTGTTGATATACTGGAATTTAATAGTGTAGCTACCAAAGTTCCTTTGAATTTTCCTTATCCATCTTCCAATGTGCCAAGGGGGGTCTTCCTCATGCTGCAAAAATTTGGTGCAAACATTGGAGTCAGTTTCAATGATTAAAGTCCAATATTACATTGGAGAAAAAAAATTTAAGAGCCCAATAAATAGCTATCATTTTAGTTTGTGCAGCATCTAGAGCTCAAGTAGGTGGGGAGAAATGGAGAACATTGTGACCAAGGGAGTTTCTGAAAACCCCACCACAACCAGCAGAGCCTTTAAGAAAGCTTCCATCAGTATTAGCTTTTAACCAGCCAGCAGGATGAGGAGCCCATTCAATCAAAGAGAAACTGAAATTATACTGAATATCAGCTTGAGGAACCCAATTCCTGAAGATATTAGTGAACCTATGATATTTGATGTTTTTTTGTAGGTAAGATGTGCAATGAGTAGTTACAGCTTTAACAAGAGGGGTAGAACCTTCATATTTAACACTATTTCTGCCATATTTAACA